AGGAAAGGCATCCGGGGTCAAACCTGTGCCAAATCAAACATGCAAATCCACTGTGGCGACTAGTTGGGAAATGAGGGAGCAGCTGAAAGTGTCAGCAGCACTGCTACAAAGCCCTGCAGATATTTTAGTCCCACTGAAGTCCTCCTTTTGTGTTTAGCAGTGATCATGTGGTAAATGTTTGTCTTTTTGCATTATAACTGTTTAGAAGGCCAAACATGTTCATTCATCCTTGGCAAGAGACGCTCACAGTGGTGCACGCTGCTGTGACAAGTGAAACAAGTCAGATAAAATCTTCAGCAGTTTTTCTTTCTGAAATTCATGGAATAATAAGTAAATGTTTAAATTTCATCATTTTAGTGGACTAAGAATCAAAACCTGCACATTATCTTTATCAGGGACCTGGTGAAAGGTATGGCTTTTTAATAAACCCTTAACACAGGGATCATTTCTCTAAAAGAAAACGCTTTAGTCTTATAAATATGAACCGCTATTTCAAATTAACAAAAACCTCTCGTTCAACATTAAAGCTAAAGCAGCAGGTGTTCGGTCTCCTGCAGATCAGAACGGAGCAGAACCGAATATTGAAACTCATGAACGGCATCCACTTTAGTGAAATCTGCTCTACCTATTAGCCAAAGTCTAATAGCTTCGTGTTTCTCAGTCTGCTACACGTCTTTCTCCCCTCTGTGAGTTTCCAACCCTTAATAAATTAGATGATCTCACAGAAAACTTCCCCCAAAAGTTCTCTGGGAGACACACGCAGCATAAGAAAATATATATGTCGCTGGATCTCTTCAATTCAACTCAGTTACATTTTATTTAAATTGCACCAAATCACAAAAACTGTTGTCCCAAGGTGCTTGGATCTCACAAAACAACCCTTTCCTGCTGCTTTCTGTGACATCACTAAACCTGATAAGTTTATGGTCTCGGCTGCCAGTTTCAGGCTGTGTTCAGCACAACATAACCTCCTAATTATAACAGCTATCAGTCAAAAAGGATCAACGGGATGCTTTAAGACCATCACTGCCCATCTAGTTTCACAGTTTGGTTTCAAAAAAGCAAGATGGTGACAGCAAAAGTGGTAAAGTCAGTTCAACACTAGGCTTCTCTAACTAATGAGTGATGGTACGGTGGCTATCTTTTGTATTGGCAGCTCGGCTGAACTGTGGAGCTAAGTCCAGTTTTCTCCATGAGATTATCAGTAATGTAATGACCGGCGATCATGAATATCAGCGATCCCAAGTGAAACCTTTCTGAAATTTTAAGATGGGTGACTGGAGTGACTGCTACCGACTGACACGCGAGGGGGCGGTAAATAGATTATGGGGTTTCCTAGGCAACTGAATCTTGCAACCTTCACTTGGGATCAATCATTAGATGTGGCTTCATCCTCCCACAGGTGAAGGCGATCCTGAAACCTGGCTTATTCTCTGTGAGACCAATCATGATGTGACTCATTGAGGAAGTGTGAAATGCAGCAGCACAGGTTCAGCGGACGGTCTTCTTCTCTCGGAGGCCTTTCCAGGACAGATTCAGTCTGAAAAACCATGTTAGAAGGAGTACACGGTGTTCTGTGTCTGAGCAAAGACAATGAAATCTTCAAATAATAAGAGAAAACTTAAACAATCCTCGTGGGCAAACTGAGCCCATTCAGCAGCAAATTAAACAAACCGCAAAAAAGGAAATGTAATTTAAATGATAATGGGTTTAAACGCGGCACCATTTGTATTATAATAATTTCACAAGTTGAGGTAAGAGTACGAGGGATTTATAACGAGCAGCTCCTTTTAAAGACTCAAGATGCTTTTCAGTTCTTATAAGTGGGTGATGCAAGTATTGCCACAGCGGGGCAAAAAGGGGGTTGACACTGAGAGAAAAGCAGGAAAAGATGAAAAGGGAGCTTTGCAAAGAGATGGTGGAGGAGGTGGTGTGGCATCAGTATTAATGTTAATGTCAGACTGATACTGCAATACATGTCATGTTGAAAAAGTCGCACATCTGACTCATGAATGCGCCGAAATGCCACTTTGTACCATTTGAAATCATCTCGATTGTGCGCCGTCTTTTCCTTTTTCTGTGTTTTTTTTCTCCTTTTTTAATCTTGTAAAGAAGTAGAAAGCGAGGCTCATGTCAGTGCGACCACGGAACAGAACTCAATTATGAGTTTTTCATTGTGTCAGCAGAAAGCGTCTAAAAAGCTGCTCCGTGCTGAGGGAATCCTGATTTCACAGCCGCCCACATGCTCCAGTTCTGTGGAGCTCACACTCCTCTGGCTCCCAGCGGGGGGCGCGGGATGAATACCGGATTATTACGTTCACGATGATGCAGGATGTCGGCGAGAGCGTGACAGGCAGGAGGAGATATTTTTAATGTAAACTTGTTAAGTCAAGGAGGTGAGAGAAACAGAGGCGGCGTGAGAGGAGCGAGTGCATTATTTATGTATGAGTGCGCTTATTCAAGCTGAGAGAGAAGCGTCTGTTAATGCTGGTAAACATAATATACGCCACTTACCCTACTCATTTCCAGCTCGTTATTTCTGTTGTTGGACTCCACTACAGTAGCTTTGTATGATTCAGTTTACTCTGAGCCTTGCTGCACTCTTTTAGTTTGACGTCTGTGTGAAACAAGCTGCTTTAGCTCCGCTCCCTTTATGCCAACTTTGGTGTTCTGACTGGCCTGTGTCAGGAGGACTAGTTACCATTGGGTCAACCTCCCCCCAACCAAACAAACCCTCACCTAGTTTCACAGCAGCTGCCAGTATCAGGGAATACACGTTTTAGTGACCAGTGGTTGCCAGCCGCTTGCCAACTGGTTTTTAGACCTTTATAAAATAAGAGCAGTTCATTTGACTGACTAGTGTTTCTATCAAAAGCAGCAATAGTTAAGATTCAAGATTCAAGAGCTTTATTGTCAAGACAGCAGTATACACAGTATACAGCGTACCGAAATGCTGTTTATATTTATAAGTGTATAAAAGATATATCTCCAAGAGATATATAAAACTAGGAATTACAAATAATTAACATGCTAAATTTCAGTAGAATTAAGGGCTAAAAAGGTACTAATTACTAACTATACCGTACTATACAGTACTATAATGATAACTATACAATACTAACTGTACAATAAACAAAGACCGGACAGAGACTATACAAAGGGGATTGTGCAGTAGGTATTGAATACCAGGTTCAAGTCATTACCAGGATATTGTAGACGAGTGAGGACGAAGACATGTGCAAGATGCAAAATGTGCAAATATAGTATAGTTTAGATGTGTGCTCAGTAACTATGTGACTGAGTGTGCAAGTAAGCATTTTGTTCTCAGGTCCAGTTTGTAGTGGATTTGTAAAAGTTTTTGTTGTTTTTGAGTCTTTTGTAAGGTTTGTAAAGGTGTGTATCAGTCCTTTGGTGGGAGTGAGCTGAGGGCTCTGACTGCTTGGGGGAAGCTCTTGCAGTGTCTGGTCGTTATGGTTTTGATGCTGTGAAACCGTCTGCCAGATGGAAGGAGGGAGAACAGCACACGTGAGGGGTGGAAAGTGTCCTTCACTATGTTGTTCGCATGTCGGATGATGTGTTTGTTGTAGAGTTGGGAGAGGGTGATCCTCTGTGCTGTCCCCACTATCCGCTGCAGAGACTTCTTTTGCAGTTCCTGTACCAGATAGTGATGTAGCAGCAGAGGACGCTCTCGAAACTCCATCCCTGTTATAAACATCCATTCAGGCCCAAACTGAAAAAGGTTCAAATCTTTGGATGAAACAGAACTGGAACATTTTTTTGGGCAGACACTCAAATTTTAACACATTTTCCCCTCGTATTCCTTAATTTCACTACCACCAGCTACAGTGAGAGACCTATAACAGAAAAACAAGTGCTTTAGATTATTATTTAAATATAGTTTTAGTTTATACTGATGGAGAAAACTCTTGAAAACTGAACAAACTTTAACAAAAAGCTTTGAACAAAGTTCACATATTTGCAGCCATAAGTGGTTGATAATTTTGAGACCTATATTTCTGTTACAGACTTGGGTGTCGTGCAGCTTGTTTCTTATACACAGAAATTCAGATGCAGGCCAATTTATGTTTAGTTAAGTCACACAAAGGTCTGGACTGAAGCTATGGTTGAGCTATTTATGATTTCTTTTATGGGGGTGAGGTTTTCCTTACTGAATGAATCATAAATCTGTAAATGAACTGAAGCAATTTCTGTGTTTTGAGTGCTTAAAGTACTAAAAGTGACTGTGGACGTCAACCTTGCAGCTTTTCAGCAGCATCACAGCCTAAACTGCTTCATGAGTTAGAGTCAGATTTAATCCCAGAGGATTACATCAATCCAGCTGTGTTCAGGGATCAAAGGAGCCCCAAATTAAATTATTTCTCAGCGGAAACAGTGTGAAGTAGGAAGGCAGCGTGGAAAATCCTATTTTACCCCAAGTGTGTGTGTGAGTGTGAGCGAGAGAAAGGAGTCTGTGCTGCATCTGCAGGATTATTAATGTTTGGCGCCACCTAGCGGTTATGCAGATTTTGCGCAACGACTTTCTCGTGAATGACCAAATGCAAGGCATATTTCTGCTTCTTGAAGATTTGAATATTTGTTTACTAATTTAAACAATCAGCATTTGCACAACAACAGAAGGCTCGAGTCTCAAAATCATTTGGGTTTGACTTGATTTGGAGGGCAAAGATGTGCAGATAAGAATCCCAGAGAAATATTGAAAAATACGTATGCATGTACACGTCTTTTCATCTTATGCAACAAAAGCATTTTAAATGTATTTAATTACTTAAAATATAAACACTTTAAGTGAATAGTGTATCAAATTTGAATCATTTTAATAGCCTGCATTTCAAATGAAGAGTTTTCCTGATGAACACGGGTGGTTTACTTGCCCTAAAGAACAAAAAAACAACAACACCCATTTGTAACAACAACAACAACATTTTATGAGAACATACATACCCTCGCCGTTGTTTCCAGTAAACATAGAAGGACAAAGGTTCATTTGACTTCACCTTTATTTACCCAGGGTGGAGAAATCCAACGTGCATTTAAAATGTTTCTCGGGAACGCTCTGCTCCTCGCTCACACTGATGCGCACTGTTGCAGATCAGCCGCAGCCGTGGTTTGTTCGTTTTTGAGCAAATACACAGAAATATTTCGAGGTTAGGTGTCTTTCTCTCTCTCAAGTAACCAGCATCCGACTTCAAAACAGGCCGCTGTAAGACTTTTTTACTTCCTCTGCTGTGCTTTCAAAAAAGACGAATAAAAATCTGAAGTTTCACATTAGTGGAAGTGGAATTGTTCCTTACAGAAAATTAAAATCAGACAGTTTGGTTTACTGATATTGTCAGTGACATGCGTTGGTGCTGTGTGTGTGAAGTAAGAGGTTTCTGATATTCACAGTAGTAACTTAAAGGTGCTGTGAAATGCTTTAAATTCATAGTGAAAAGCTTGCCAGTGGCAGTGCACTGAAACTGACCACAGTAGCCAGAGGCCAGTTTCAGCCCCAGCAACACAGACAAAGTCCAAGTGAGACAAAACCATCAAAGTCACGAGAATGTGTCACAAAAAACGTGAAAGTATATTAAAATTACACAATAAAACTTTCTGACATTGTGTCATGATTACACACTTCCACTGTAATATGTAAACATTTGTTTAAAGGAACAATTCACCCCAAATCACATGAACTTATGTACCAAGCAAAGCAAGCAGCTAGCTACAGTATCATTACTCCAGACAAACACCGGGTGAGTTTCATGTGTTATTCTTTGTACGGGTTTGAATACAGGAGCATTTCAGAGGCAGTGTCTAGTCTGTACGGGACTTTTTTGGGCGGGGAAATTAACGTTCTTCTATCTAACATCCTGCCCCTCCTCTTCTGCTCTGTGCAGTGTGAAGAAGAGCCGCTGCATCAATAAACAGTGTGGCTCCAACTCAACGATGCAGATTTGAGTAAAAGGCAAATAAAAACTGAAGCACAAACTTTTGTTGGACGGCCGATACCACTTAGTAGATTATTATCAGATAATTGCTTTAAAAACGCTCTAAAAGCACAAATATAGTCTCGAGGTCCAGTTCAGCGACTCCAATTAGCCGAGGTGAGGCCTCGCAGACAGCTGCACATGTTGGCACGTCTGTCAGTCCAAACAGCCACGCCAACTTTAAGCCTTGGCAAACACCCAGACAAGCGAGTTATGCAAAATTTTACACCGACTGTATGAAAGTGACTTTTGGGTGAAGTGTCCCTTTAAAACCCTGATTTGGCTGTGTGGAGTGAATTAAGGGTGTAAACGTACACTGAAACCTGTAAATCTATATATTTACTCAAGTCTCTTATTGTAATTGATCTGCTACATTTACAGTGTCAAAACAAATCTCACTGCCACTCGGTGTCGGGCCTTGTATGAGGACCTCTGTCAGTTTTCGGTTGACAAATGTGTAAAACAACAAACCAGCGTTCACCGACTCAGAGATCAGGGGTTAGAACCACCTGATGAATGGCCAGTTCACCCAAATCACGACAAAGATTTCATGATCTTAGTGGTATGATTTCAGATGTCTGCAGGCAGCATAAGTAACGTCTTTTTGTGATTTGAGTGGACTGACCCTTTAAATCTCGGTGAAAAGAGCCTCACGTGTCTGGACGGTCCAGCTGGAAACATCAGATCACGTTTGGCGGCGAATAAGCTGCATGTACGAACAAATAACGGTCACGTATCTCTGAAAGAGAAGTTTTTCACAATAACAGAACTTGAATATGTTAAAGTTGTGAAAACATGAAAGTAAAAAATAAGATTTATTAATTTTCAAGTCTTTGATGTAAATTTCAGCTGAGACCTCAGATGCGACTGGACACGGTCCCCTCGCTCATCTTCAAAAAGAACGACTGCAGATTGCACAGCATGCACTTCTTCTTCTTCTTCTTCTTCATCTTGTTGTTACTTTTCTTGTAAACTCCCTGATATTTTCCCTCTTCGTCGTCCTCCTCCTCCACCCATGGCACCCACGCTCCCCTGTGCTGGCTCGGGTTGGCTCGGGGGTCGTCGGGTGGAAAGTAAACCGGTACGGCTGTTTGGTTGTAGTAGGCGAGCCGGGCCAGCAGCTGCTGGACTACATCTGGCCTCTGGTCTGCCAGGTCGTGCCGCTCGTACGGGTCGCCTGTGATGTTGAACAGCCAGATGTTTTTGTGGACGGAGGATTTCTGGTAAAGTATCGAGCGTTCAAGGTTCCACCAGCGACCGGGTAGAGAGGTGGGAAGCATCTGAGGATCAATGTTTCAAATATTTGTTATAACAATCAATGTGAAACAGAAAAGTAGAATGAAGCTCTCTGAAGCATGCAGCAGTACCTGTGGGGGGACCCAATCTCCGTGGCCTGGATCACCTGTCAGTAGCTTCCAATCTCCAACTCTGATGGCAGCCTGGACTGAAGTGTCCCACACCGGCTGTAGTGACTCCAGCCCGAACTGGAGGGTTGGATGGGATTTGGTCAGTGGTATTCCAGGTTGGGATCTGTTCTGGTATGGGAAAAATGTCCGCTTGGACTTTGATTTTGAATGTAGTTTGAGCGTCTTGGATTTTGGCCGGCTTGATTGTGACAAGTTCTGGTTCTGGGACGTGGTCCTCCTGAATTTTGTTTTCAAACGGGTTTGGATCGGAGGCGGAGATTTAGGACGGGATGTTCCAGACCCTGACGAAGTGCCACCGATCTTTGGATGCGGTCTGTGATTGGGCAGAGGCCGGTCCCAAGTGTGGGCTTTGGTCTTCTTAGCTTTAGGTGGGGGTTTTGATTTTAGGCGAGGCTTGAGCTTCTTTTTGAAGAGGGGCTTAGATTTAGGCTTAGAGGCATGATGGGAAAATGTTTGAGGTTTCTTGGTGGTCTTTGTTTTGAAGGCTAACTTTTGTTTTGGTGGCTTCTTCACAACCTTCTTCTTCTTCTTCACCTTCTTTAAAACTTTGGTTTTTAAAGTTTTCACTGCCAAATCAAAGAAAACAGCGATCAAGACATATTAAAGATAAATGACCTCTTTTGTGCTCATATTTCTCTCTTTCTCTTCTCTCTGTATTTCCTACAATAAACAAACATTTTCCCCCCTGGTGGTAAATTTACTGACATGAGACTTATCATATTGAAACCAGTCAATGTCAATTAAAAGCAGCTGCTTGGTGAAGAGACGTGCAAAGTGGGCAGGGCATGAGATAAGGAACAGGCACGGTGGTGCGTTGGTCTGATTCAGAGGCTACGTCGAGCTCTGCAGACTGTTGTTTTGTAGCTCTTCCACTAGGGGGCAGAATATGTGGCATGACTGGTTTGTGCTTAACTGTTTGTTGTTATTTTAGCAGAGCTCCTGTCACAGAGCCCAAAGAGCTTCTTTGTAGTGAAGCGCGATAATGAAGCCTTCGCAGGCTGTTTTTTCTTAATACCTTATTGTTTTTGTCCGTCTTTGTCTTCGTAGCAAGCTCTTCAGTGCCCTCTTTAGTTGTTCAAGCCAACCTTTCAACCTATCAGCATTTTACCTTGCAGAGTATCAGCACATTTGAGCTACTGCTGGATTTTTTTTACAGTGTGTCAAAACAGCAATTCTTCAACTTTATTTTCAATGTTACAGGAGGTGGAATAAATCTGTGGGATTGCCCATCTAGCTAGGGCGTAGTCTACGACTGCTGGGTGCTGAGTCGAGGGAGATGGCCGCCCCTCTTTAAGCCTGATTCTGACGGATGTTTCTTCCTGTTAAAAGGGAGTTTTTCCTTTCTTTATGGTCTTTACCTCAAAATATACAAAACCTAAAAAAACCCACCTTGAGGTGACCGTTGTAGTCACTTGGTGCTATATAAATAAAACTGGATTTAATTGATTTGTCAGCATGGCTGCTCATTTTAAATCACTCCACAGAAGTCCTGTTATGTTTCCTTGCACTCGTGCGATGTGCTGGATTTTCTCCAGTGTGTCAAAACAGCAATTCTTCAACTTTATTTTCAATGGAGGTGGAATAAATCTGTGGGATTGCCCATCTGGCTAGAGCGTACGTCCAGCTGGTGAACCAGGACTGTGTTGACGTGGCTAAAAAACGAACGTGTTTTCAGCACGATTTGCGACGATACGTGATGGCCACAGTTCAGGCAGTTTCCCTTAAATGAATCAGGGCGTTACAGCAAAAGTCCACACTGGGAAATGGATTCTTGAAAAAAGAAGAGCCTGATCCTGGCCTCTTCACCTGACGTTACTTTGGGATGTTTCCGGCTTGGAAACTTTAGAGGTTTCAGCTGAAAATTGCTCAGCTGTAGCTGTAGATCCAGATCTCATCAATCTTGATTAGTTTGAAACAAAAAATTACTGTTTGGTCTTTTTTTGAGTTGAGTTTGAGGTCTGAGGTAAAATCCCAGTTAAAGTAGTCAGACTTTCAGGGAGCGATCTAAAATTAGCAGTTGTGAAAAAAGCTGTCAGGAAATTCCTGAGAAGAGGACCTCGAACTGGAAACCAGCCAAATTTATATGAGGAAGTCTTGCGATTCCTACGTGCCCATTCCTGGACCTTTTTGTTCACACCTCATTAAAAAAAGTCCTTTATGGACTTTTTTTGCCCCTGTAGTTACCCCAGTTTTCCTCGTCCTGGTTCTTCTTTTCAATTGGAGATTTGTGCAGAGGGTCGATGTTGTGAAGGATCTCCTTACGGGGCGACTCCCTCCCCTCACTGATGGCGGGCCAAACATCAAAACCATCCAGGCCCTGGCTCTGAACGGAAGGCAAACACTTCATTTACAGTAAGAGATTACAGAGCAGGGTAATGACGGGTATGCTGCTAAAAATACCAGAAGCAAGACTCATACATTTACTGGACACAAATAAAGAATAAGTAATTTCCTTGTAAAAGACGCCACTGACTTTTTGAATTACTACGTTTCCTGTAGCCAAGAAAGCATTGCTTATCTGCTGGCAGCAATGCAAATCTATCCACAGATCAAGCCAACAAAGCTTTTTGGACACTATACACAGACTGCACGGACTTAGAAATGAAAGTAATTTATATCCGAACAAAAACACAAAGCATGTTTGAGGCCAGTGTTTGGTAATGCTGCACTTATCATAATAGGTCCGGCTGATTTATCCAGATGACAGTAAAAGTAGGGACGGCTTTACAGTAGCACTGTTCAGTCTGAGGCCAACACAGAGATGAATATAGGCAGAGCTCTACTTTCATCTCTAATAATGACAACGAATAAACTTAATCTGAAATTAGGGGGAGACAGTAAGCGAGCTGAGGGACCAGAGATTGAGCTCTTTGGCAAGACGACTGGAAAAACATACAGATCCTGAACGAGTTTACAGTAACAGAAGAGCTCGTATCGGTATCTCTCTCTGTTTTATAGCACAATAAAATGGTCAGTAACACACTGGGAGAGAGTCGTTTTTCCATGCTGCTTAACTTTTATCCTCCCATATTTACTGTCTAAGAAGAAACATCAGAGACAAGTGCGAGAAAGTACAAGCAAACGGCTCCCACAGGTTATTGTTCTGACACAGGCCCACTGACCTGGCTGATGTTTCCTCCGGCCAGGCTCACCAGTGTAGGGAACCAGTCTGTGATGTGCATGAGAGCTTTGGAGACTCGTCTCCTGCGCCTGAGCAGAGGGCTGTGCACGAACCCCACGCCGCGGACTCCACCCTCCCAATATGTACCCTGAAACACAGCCAGCACATTTAATTTCATTCTGCTCTCTTTCATTTTGGTTAGCTGAGATTTTTTATATGTTATCTGTAAAACTACTGCAGACGTGTGAAAGGCCTCTGGATACTTCGGTTGTGAGTCGTCTGCACATCCTACAGTTCACATTTGGCATCTGCAGAATTTTAAGGGCCTAGCAAAGAGTTCAGCTCTTTGTTGTGTTCCTCAACCCACCCCTGCGCAGCTTTCTTTAGCACCATTTTTACATATATAAAAAAGACTGAATGGGTTAGCAGAACAACAGGACTAAAGTAGAGCCAGGCACGTGTTTTGGGGTTTTAGCTGGCTCAAAATAGGTCACGGCTGATCCTCATACAGTTAAGAAAAGGAGTCTGCTCTCTGATTTAAAAGAAGTTTGTGTATGTTATTGTCATTTTTACCCATTTGTTAAACAAAATATTTATTTTAAGGTTGAGTGAAATGAACCCCACTTATAAAAGATTCCTTAAAAATCAGTCCTGGTGATTTTCCAACCTGGACTTGCCAACTGTGCCTACTGTAGATACATTTTAGACAGTCATGTGTAACCACATGGTGTGCATTACCAAGGGTGGATTGTGGGACATTAATGCTTTGCAGCAGCGATGATGTCATTTGTTACTGGCGCTCACACAGGGGGACAAGTGGACAGTTGGAGCAGATCATCCAACCCTAGTCTGCTTAGGACGCTGCTGCATGTCAATCCACACGAATGGCAAAAGTCAATGTGTCCCTGCAGGACACTGCAGAGTAAGGAAGAGATCGATGTTGTTCACGCCACCTACACCTACAAGTGGTTGTACATTTATAATGTAGGTATTAAATGAAATGATTTAACCAGACTACAGCCGTAATAATATTATCACAAAGCTGATAAAAGGTCATTTATTGTGTTTCTTCATTTAAAACCAATCTTCTGGACTGTAGCGCTTTCATTACATCCCATATTAAGCTTGTCAGACTCATCTCGACATAAAAATCTTATGAGGGCAATTTCCTAATTGGTCACAGACTGTATATAAAAGATGACAGCAAGATCCTGATTGTCTTGCACTGTCTTAAACTTGCACTGGTTTTAATGGCCACCAGGGGGTGTCTTCTCTGGCTAAAAAAGGCATTACTGACTATGCCTTATTTTCTGTCACTCTCACATTCAGAACAGCAGTTCACAAAGCAGTGAGAGACGTCATTATGACTATGTGGACTTTTTATGAAGCCTATGCTTAGACGCCGTGCAGTTATTTTACCTTACGACCCCGCAGCGGCCAGTTGTTCCCGCCTGTGAAAGGCTGAGCGCCGTTGTCGGTGGAGTAGATGATGACGCTGTTTCGGTAGTATCCGTACTTTCTGAGGGCGTAGGTCACGTTTCGGACCGCTTCGTCCACCGTGGAAACCATGCCGGCGAAGTTTCTCCTGGGGACGTTGACCATGTCCCGGAAGGGGTAGATGTAGGACTCTGGAGGATTTAGAGGAGTGTGGACCGCCTGAAGGGAAACGTTACAGGATATTATTACATGTTTTTAAATTCTATCAACCATCCAAAATCAGCCGTAAACAACAAACATCTGGGCGGCGTGTTTTGAATTAAAACCTTTGAGTCTGTTTGAACAAACTGTCTCAAAAAAGCCAAACAAACAAACACTTCAATGTGGACTGTGCACTCTCTGAGCGCTCACACTCAGACATAAACAAACATGACATGCAAACACATCCTGTTGTGAACACCGGCCCCTCTGATCCCCCCTCCACCCGCTTTTTTAAAAACTTTTTGATTGGCTTTAACGTAACCCATCTTCTAAAGATGTTTAATGTAACGACCTCAGCGCCGTACCTGGAAGGACAGCAGCAGGAAGAGCGGCCTCTCTGCAGGGTCGTGACTCTCCAGGATCTTGCGAGCTCTCTGTGTGAAGAGCGTGGTCGAGTATTTCCCCTCGTGGCCCCACGCTACGCCCTCATCGTCATGGAGATCGTAGCCACACAAGTCCTTGCCGTCACACGATTCATAACTAGACGCAGATGGAGAAATGTGAGTTACTGGAGTAAACACAGTAAAAAGACAGAGAGCAATCATGAAAACAGGTAATAATAGTAGTTGTGATTTACCTGTAGTAGTCCACACTTCCGGTTAACGAACCAAAGAAAGTGTCAAAACCTTTTCTGGTGGGCAGACACGCTTTCCTAAAGGAAAAAATGATTACTGATTACAGATGTTTGGAGGGTTTGTAATACAAGCCTGACACCCCAACAACCAGCTGAGCAATGTGGACCATTTTATAGAAGAAATGATCACAAATGATGGCCGATGACTTTAAACGTCTTGAAAAATGTCAGGAACCTGATAACTGCTGTTCCCTTTTACTTGATATCCGTCCACTAACTCCAGTGAGTTAGATCATTCAGTGCTCTCTAGCTTAAATAGCCATGTTTCTTTCTCTTCATGCTGTCTGTTGTACAGAATAAGCACAGTAGGGAGTGTTCAGCACTATGCCAACTCAGTTCAACGGTAGGAGAGTTTAAAGCTCCAGCGAACTGTAGAATAAAGACCGATTGTGTTGTCTGGCAAGTTTCAGCCTGTGGCCTTCTTCCGGCTGATTCTAAAAACATATCACAGATAACATTTTAAACAGTAGAACATTTCTATTGGACACGCCCTCAGATCATTTCAGGTCTCAGGTCATTTCTTGCAGGCGCCTCACTAGACATATATGATTGATTGATTTGTACTGTTTCCACGCTACACTGATCATTTCTTAAAATGCGTCACTCAAAAAATGCATCACCATACACACTTTTAATTTTAAAAAATTATTGGTTTTACTGAGCGGTCTTTATACATGTAAAATGGCTAACAGCAATAGTTAGCTATTAATATATATTGGTTAACTAAACCGTTTTAGGTTCTGACTAATAAAAATAAACCCCCCACTGCTTAGGACCACTGTGGGGTCTAGCTGTGGACCAAATTTGGTCCAACAACTCCTGCAAATTTCCATAACTTATAATGCTACATACTTCTGCTTGTCACAGCAGGAAAAGCACAGGTGCAGTCAACAGTTACATAAACTATTATGATGAGTCCAAGTAAACCATAATTGTGAGCCAGCATGCATCATACCAAAGCCCTGAAACCTTTAGCCAGGTGTGTGGAGACAGAAAGGCCGGCAGGGACTGGTCTCTTTTTAAAAAACACAGTATGTCACAGCTGAGATAAACAGAAAGACCGTCCTGCGTCATCTCATATTTTAACTAGTCATGAAAAAAAAGCAGAGTATCTTTTTATGTTTTTAAGAATGTGGACATAATTGAAAAAAATCTTCTTGTCCTTAGCACTTTTTAAAATCTGGTAAATTCAAAGTCAGCTGAACAACACCACATAATAACATACTACACCATGTTATTATTTATTTACAAGAAACAAAGTCAAATTGCAGAAGTAGTGTGTGAAAAACTAAGTGAACCCTTACTGCTTCCATAAGAATCCATTGATCCATAAGTCCCAGCAAATTCGCTTTAAGGTGCAGAAACCCCAACAGTTACATCTTAGACTCTACAGGCCTCAGTTAGCATGTTAAATGGAACAATGTTGTTTAGACAGACAAGACCAAAGTGTAGATATTTGATCATTTTGCAGAGCATCACATTTGGTAAAACCAAACACAGCACATCAGCACAAACATCTCATATCAGCTGTCAACCATAGTGTTGGAGGGGTGATGATTTGGGTTGCTCAGAGGACCTAAGCAGCTTGCAGTCATTGAGTTGACCACGAACCCCTCTGTATACCAAAGTACTGTGGAGTCAGATGTGAGGCCATTTCTTCGACTGCTAAAGCTTGGCCCAAATTGTGTCACACAAAAGGACAGCGATCAAAAGCACGGCAGCAGTCAAAGTCCAGACCCCAATCTAATTGAAATGCCAAGGCATTGTCATGGCAGCGGTACATAAACAATTACCAGCAAAGCAAAGCACTCCTGTAAAGAAGAGTGGGCCAAGATTCCTTCACGATGATATGAGAAACTGATAAAGTCATACGGAAAAAGATTACTTCAAGTTAAGTAGTCCAGCTTCTGAATCATGACTGCATCACTGTTTCTCCACCATCTTTGTGTCAGCAGACTTTTCACCAAACAATATTCTCCAAGTTATACTGAAGGCTCCCTCTCACCTGTAGAAACCCAGGTGCCACTTGCCAACCATATGTGTGGCGTAGCCGGCCTCGCGAAGCCTCTCAGGCAGAGTGTCCATGTGCGAGGGCAGACAGCTGGGCTGTCTGGGTCTGATAATGGAGTGCTGTAATCCCGTGTGGATCTGATATCTGGAAGAAAGAAAAAAAGAGCTGTTAGTGGGTTTGTAACAGGCAAGCCGCTCAGGCAGGAGCTTCCGTTTGGCCTCAGAGAAGACGCAGGGAGCTCATTATTAATCCTGGCTGCAGCTCAGGGCCTAATCAATAAACTCATTATTCAAAGCAGCTACCTCATTTGAAACAGGAGCTTCACATGCAGCCATTTCTTCCTCATTTCACACATTTAAAGCCCTCTCTAATTCTTTAACGTGATTCTTGTGCTTCTCTAACATGTGAATGAAAAACCGCTTGTTGGAGTTTCAAAATCCAACAGAAAACAGATGCCTTCAAGAAAGATTATTATTGGCTCTACTGGACGTTTCTTCCCGTTAAAAGGGAGTTTTTCCTTCCCACTGTCGCCAAAGCGCTTGCTGAAAAGGGGTCATATGATTGTTGGTATTTTCTCTGTTTTATTTTAAGGCAACTCTTGTTGTGATTTGGTGCTGTACAAAGAGCATTTCATTGAATTGTGCTATCAAAAAGCATTCAATCTAAATGTCAAGCTACAGATGTGGTGAAAATGCAATTAGTACAATGTGTAAACGCGGAGGTATTGCCCACAACAAATAAGAACTGCTGGCTAATAACTGCCGAGCACAAATCCTAAAGGAAAACCTGACACAACAAGCACAGCTGGAAGAAAAATGGAAAAAATGCCAAGACTCAAAGCGCTGACGCGAGAGCAAAGCTTCAAATTAACCCATCAACAGGGTAGCTTAAGTTCTGGAAAGAATATGGATGCACTTCAAACGCTTTTTAATGTGGTAATGGCTTAATGTTGTAAATCTCTTACCATTAAAATGGAACAATCTGACAGTACATCCAGACAAATAAGACCAGAGGATATGAATTATAGCAGTTACATGCTATAAATTAATTAATGAGTCAATATTCGGACGGCTTTGATAATAAGATAATGATTTAAGATCTTTTTAAGTGGTTTTTTTAAATACTGAAACAAAGAGAAAACAATATGTATTGGTGTACATGAGACAGTTTATTAAGAGACTGGGCTAAATGTTGTCAAAATTTAATGTAAAGACTTCCGATATTTACTGTAGGAGGTCGGTAAAGGTGTGTTTGTACCTGCCGGTGATGAGCTGACTGCGCGACGGCGTGCAGATCGGCTGAACGTAGTAGTTTTCCAATTTCACGCCCTCTGCTGCCAGTTTGTCCAGAGTGGGAGTCTTGATGGTCGGGTTGTGGTAACCGATATCATTGAAACCCTGCAAGAGATTCATGATTGCATCAAAGACTTTGTGTTTTAGAGTCTCACTTTAATTTGCCAAATACATACTCAGTGGTTCCTATACTGTACTGTAAGGAAGTAATGGGTCCAGGTGTGTTTGTTTTGTCTGTATTTTCTATGGTACAGTTTTGTTTGTGAGCTGGAAACAGTGTTGCAACAGTTCCAGAGAAGCTCTATCAGAAGCTTCATTACTCAGCCCCACACTGGTTGGTTTTTAAGGCTTGTGAGTCATTTTAAGATGCTGGGTCCTGTTACAATACTGTAGGAAACAATACTTTCTGCTTCTTGAGAAACTTAACAATGACCTATAAATCATTTAACCATCACAAACAGCACATAACTCAAGGGATGAACCAGTGTTTTGTCCGCACATAACAGACCACTTTAGAAAACAACCTGTTTTAAATAGCTTAGCTTTAGGCACTTTCTTTCTAATAGCCTGTCCCAAAATACATCATTTGTTCCCGTTAGCGGAATCTTTGAAAACATTTCTGGGCCAGTGAGGACATTCTCACAGCGCCATTAACCAAAAACTTGGCACATTGCGCCATGGTGTGCAATGTGCCCTAAAAAAAAACGAGGTAACATGAGAAGTGGAGAACAAAATAAGAAGTGAATTCAGAATTTAAAAATTTAGTTAAAAATTTTTCATCAGGTCAGGAGAGATGTGAACAGCAGGTGTCTACACAATACACAATGCAACACTATCAGTGATGGATTGGCCTCCCCAGAGCCCAGACCTCAACTTTAATGAAGCAATGTGGGATAACCTCGACAGATTGCAGAGCCAAAGGCAGCCAACATCCAAAGAAGAAGGCTGGAGAACTTTTCCTGAAGACTACTCGCCTAAGAGAGCTCAGGCTGTGTTGAAGAATGAAGATGGTGATGTCAAATATTGACTTCAAGCTCATCAGATTTGTAGAAACTCTGTTTTTGCCTTACAGACTGTATTTGAGGCTGCATTTCCATGTTTGCACCTTTCAATAAATTGCTGCATTTGTTTCCCATTTTCGTACCAACATTTAAAGAAATTTTGTGCGGCTCAAGACTTATGCACAGCTCTGCACATAAAATGGTTTGTAATAAACTTGATCTAGCTGTTAAGTTGGTCTTAGTAAGGACCAGTCTGCAAAAGCGTAGCCTTAACTTCACCTGGCCTCACCGATGACATGATGCTTGCTTCCTAGCAGCCTGCGCTGTCTTGGTAATGTAGCATTTCTGATTTGCAGCAATTATGCAAAATCAAAGCTGAGCTAGCAAAAAGTCAATTTCACCAACAGTGTAATGAGAAAATTAACAGAGGTGTACAGACAGCAGCAAAACATTTGGTTGCTAAGCAGTCTAAATGTGATCTAAACAAGAAATCACAGGAAGTGAACAAACAGTTACTCCAATATGGAGGTCCTTCACTCAGAAAACAAAAACTGAAAACAAAACAAAGTAATAAAAAACAGTGGAAAGACCTCCTTTCCAGAGACATCTCAAAATCAGCTGCTCGTCAAGAGTAGTATTTTATGTAGGAAGTAGAAGGTCAAGCTGTGTAACTTTTAGGCTGGACCCGTGTATGTCTTACAGTTTCTATGAGAGGATCTGCTTGGTTTTAAGTAAGCGTGACGGGACCTGTGGATTCATGTGTCACTGCCAAAAGGCTGCAGCTGTCACCGGGTCTGTGGGTTACTCTTTCTTCTGTGTGTGGTAATCTTGATCCTTAAGCTGAGCTGCTGCGTGGCGAAAACGAAGAAGTCGAACCACACCAAGTACGTAGAAACAATCAAAACTGACCACTGTGCGTGCTTCTAATGCGTGTATAAACATTCAATCGATCTGACTTACGCATAGTGTCCTCACTGTTTGTTGGTTTTTTGGGAGGACTTCACGCGAGCACCTAGCCACACACAGTCTTCAATGACACTGCGGTGCAACATACTGAGTTTAAACAAGCACAACAGGAGTGTGTCTCTGTGGTACCTGCAGCTATCGGCGTCCACGACTAAAAATAATCCCCAGTTCGACACAACAACTTATGACCGACTAACCTGAAATCCAAGATTGTGAATATCTTGTCTGTAACATCTGTTTGCATGCGGTGGATACGTGAAACCACATTTGAGACGGACTTGCCAAATTGAAATTCAGGTTTAAATCAGAGAGGTTATACTCAGAGAGGCGTTAAGTCCTCCTATGCTGCTCTCATGCGTGCTGTTTAATTCATTTCACTGCTTATAAACCAGATTTTTCAGCTACTTTCACACATATGGTTGTAAATGTTTTAGGAATGATTTGATTTCTATCCCCAATAATATATATTTATGTAAATACTATGATGTGTTTCCTCGTTTCAGTGGCACCGTCCAAGCATTTTGATTCAAGAAAACGCACTCGCACGACTCTCACACACACCTGATCGTCGGTGAGGATGAATACGATGTGCGGCTGGTTCTTCTTCTTCTGCGCCGTCTCGTCAGTCTGCTGCTGCATCTGGTTGTTCGGGGGCCGATGAGCCGACAGGCAGTCGAGGGTGAGCAAAACACTCAGCGCAGTCAGAGCCGCAGCTGCAGCAGCAGGGGCAGCCTGCATCCTTACAGCAGGAGCTCTGCGGAAAAGAACGACAACAAGAATATAACAATACGGCGACAACTTCTACCAACAAAACACCAGGGAAGAGTAGCTCAAAAATGTTAGACTCAGCACAAATTCACACAACCCTGCCATCAGTGGGGTGACTGACTGTAGATCACGAAACCACATTTGAGACAGACTTGCCAACTTGGCTGCAAATGTGATCTGAAACACTTCCATCTGGTGGACAGAGAGCTGAAACTCCGCGGAGGGCTTTCAGCTATTTACAATCTCTGGAACTGAGTAGCATGAATAAAAAAAATAAAGAAAAACGATTAGAATATTACCCGGAACCGAGAGAGAGCAGAAACAGGGCATTTGGAAGTGCTGGAAGAGGGTTTTATTACTTTTCTTTGATCATTTGCTGATTTATTTCACATTTTACACCCTAGGAGTGTCAAACGGGGATAAACTCCTCTGTCACTGGGGATATGGTGTTATAACAGCTGGATGATCACGGTCGCGCTTAGGAATGCACCGATGCTTGGAGCACGTTACACGCTTTCTAATGTCACGTATCAGACCTTTCCAGCAAACTCCGGTTAGTGTTTCTCAGATGGTCACAAAGAAAAACTGCCTGAATTAATTCTAATACTTGAAATGCATGGCTATCACAGTCCTGTGTTTGCACTGCTGTATTTCCTCAGAGCAGCCAGATTTTCATGTTCATGTAAACTTCCTCTCTTTCAGTTTAAACCGCTTTTTCAGGAAGTAACCTAACTGATGCCCCGATGGTCCAGAGACAACAGAGATTATGTAAGGCAAGTTGATTGGTCAGCAGCTGACGGTGTTTCCAAAACCGCACCCACCCTTCACCCGTAAAACAATCTGAATAAAGTGAACCCTCACTGACTTCTAACTTTTGTTGCTGTCAGCGTTTTCACATTATACGGTGTGATGTTAGTGAAAGAAAGACAGATTTCTCTGTAGCGTGGGAAACACAGCATGTGCATCAGGAGTCAGATTTACGGCCAAAAAGGGAAGCAGATGAGTGAGTCTCTCTGTACTTTAATCACAATCTAAACCTTGATTAGTTTTATCCCACCACCACTAAGACAAACCATCTTTCCACCTTTTACATCGTGACAGAAAAGCTGATGCTCGTTTCAGTTGGAACGATCTTAAAATGCGGCAGATTTCATGTAAATGTTGCTCCATGCTCTCAGCATGAATAACTGCAGACAGTACTCCACTACATTTGATCAAAAACTTATCCTGTTTTCCTTCTCTCACCCCAACCGGTCGCAGCAGATGGCCCCGCCCCTCCCTGAGCCTGGTTCTGCTGGAGGTCTCTTCCTGTTAAAAGGGAGTTTTTCCTTCCCACTGTCGCCAAAGTGCTTGTTCATAGAGGGGGTCATATGATTGTTGGGGTTTTCTCTGTATGTATTATTGCAGGGTCTACCTTACAATATAAAGTGCTTTGAGGTGACTGTTGTTGTGATTTGGTGCTGTATAAATAAAGTTGAATTTTCAGATTTAAATCTAAATCTAAACTGAGTAATAACGTATGTGATGCTATTATGGATCATAAGGTATGTAAAGTACACAGGATTTCCCTGCATATAAAACTTTTTGGTGCTCACCTAAACAATGTTTTGGCCTTCCGCTAATAAACATAAACATTTTTGCTCACCGAATGCTGAAACACAGCAAGAAAATGCACATACTGGTTTTAAGTAAGGTGAAATAGACTCACTTTGTTAAATAAATGCAGGACAATGATGTTTGCATGCATATTTACACCCTCAACTTACCACCAGAGCCAGAAAAAACATGATACAGACACGAAAACTAGCTTGTTTACGCGGGTCAGTGAAGGTCTGAGCTGCAGACGGGGAACCAGTGGGTAAAATGTTATTTTGTAACCTGGTGACAATTTAATTATAAACTTATAAAGCTGTAAAAAGACTAACTGACCAACATCTTTTAACAATAATTTCTTTTTTTTAAACAAGCCCGCCTTCTTGGCTGGAAAATGGCTTATTGTGAAATACTTGACCACATTCATGGAGTTTCAAACATATTTTAGAACTATGTGTGCCATGTTTCTCTTCAACTGTCCGATGTGTAGCCCATTGTTTACTTTATCTTGGTGAGTGCGTCTCTCTGCTGGCTCACACTGAGGACCGCTGTCAGTCCTGACTGATCTGATGAGTGAGTCACTTGTTAATAGATGTGTAAAATAACCTTTACAAGGCCCGAATGCTCTTTGATACTTCCTCGAATTGCCAGTGTTTAAACAATATGAAATTATCCATGACATTAAATAGTAACAAGGTTCAAAAAGGATCTTTTTAAACTCTCTAATCTTTATTTTCTCAACGCAAACTGTAACCGAGCGCTCTTTAAGAGGAAGGGTAACCTCAGACTGTTTTATCTGTATCATCTACGACATGTTTATTAACGTGAAAGCCAAGAAGACCATGTAATGTTGATTTTATATGTAAGCTGACGAAAAGCAGCTGTCTCAGCTTGATTGTAGAGTACTGGTTTCCAACTACTGGTGAGATACAGGTACTCATGGGAAAAGAAGCAGAGTAGTCTGAGTGAGTGTCTTAGTTAAGAAGCTCTGACTAACCTTATATAGCCTAGTTTTGCTTTGATGGAGTTAGTATATATTTAAATGCAGTATTTATCAGAAATAATAATAATAATGAAACTGTAATAATACTATATTAAGTCTGGTATCAGAGTATATCCAGGTCGAGAAAACTCAAGTCAGCATCGTTCATCTTATCCTCACCTCTGCGGTGTTATTTCAAAGCCAGGCCTGAATCAATACCTCGATACAAGGATCAATGGGAGTGAACGGCTCTTCTTCCCCCTCCTCTTCTCTCTCCTTCTTCTTCAGTTCATTCCTCACCCTTCGGCTTCTTCTTCTTCTTCAGCTCGGAGAACGCCTGGTTTGCAGAAAAGTTTGCAAAAGACGCAGCATGTCCTTTGAGTTTCCACCAGAGCCTCCTTCCTCCAGTCTGAAGAGTGCCTTCTCTCCCCGCAGATGAAATACGAGCGAAGGACAGCCGCACACAAACACGCTCCCACCTCCGGCCTGACTCGCCAAAATAAAATACGCTCGACTCGTCATTTTAAAGTCACACAAGTCATTTTAAACTGCTGCTGTGAATGAAATGAAACCTCCTCCAGTTACCATAGTGACCACTGCAGGGCCGTAAATGAACCGTGATAACGTCAACAGGCTGAACGTGTAAACTGTCACAATAAAGCATTATTAATGAAATACAACTCTGATATCACATCAGAGTTGTATTTATCAGGAACATTAAACAACTGTTCCTGATAAACAGTGAATTAACTTCCTGTCCTGTAATCAGCATTTTCGTTGCCTCGAGTAGGCAGTATATAATAATTAAGTCATATGGTAAGGTGTATTATGACCTAAATTTAGCTAAATATCACAGATCCTGAATTCAAATCTTAAAAAAAAAACGTATTTAGTCGGTAGACGTTATAAAGGAGTTTTATCGGAGTTGTTTGTTGATGTATGGCATTTTTATGCCCCAGTGACGAATTGAATTGAATTTTATTTAGATAATAATTAAAAAAAAAACGCCTAAAGGCTGTCCAGCTGCAGAATAACAGGACTTCAAGGACTGCTCCAGATGAAATATTTGCTAAAAACAAACAAACAAACAAACAAACAAACAAACAAACAAACAAACAAACAAACAAACAAACAAACAAACAAACAAACAAACAAAAACAGTCTTCGTTAAGAGCTCTCGTTAAGTTCTGTATTAATTTGGAAATTTCCCAGCTTAACATCCGCTCCTCTTGACTTTATTTCTGTAACTTAACGCTTATGGAAACCGGTAATAAAGCCGCAATAAATGCCGTTTCTTTCAACGGCGTTAAGTCTCTTTAATGTGTTTCTTGTAGTGTCAATACTGACACCGTCACTTTGTTCGTGTCTCCGGGAATAAAGGCAGGACTTCAGCCGAGCAGCCTGCCTGCAGACCGGACTGTTACAGGCAAAAGGAGTCCGCTGGCACTCGCAGGAAGCCTGGAATTTCTTTTAGGGCAACATGCTGTAGAAATGCAAAATAAGGATCAAGTGATCCCAAAATATTCAGGATGAGGCAGGAAAATATGCTAGACTAAAAAAAAAAAATACCAGCTCCATTCAACCCTTATTAAAAATCAGAAAAAAATGGATAATACCAAACATCTAAAGACCACGTGTGCAGACAAATATGAGAAAGGTGGCATTTAGAAGTCTGTGTCCAGATGGAGTCTGTTATTTCTAAATGCACCTACATTGTAGACGGTGGGTCTTACAAAACAAGAACACATGTCATCAGTACGAGGTCTTCATAGTGCTGAGTTGCTCGTTTTAGTCTTTGTTTCCAGCTTTGGATTGTCACATTTGGAAACGGTTTTCATTTAAAACGCTCAGTTACTTTATTATATAACTGAGACGTTTGTTTGATTTAAATTCAAACCTGGCAAAGTTTTGTAGAGAAGGTTGTTCATGTGTTTTGCTGTGATGTCTTTAGATATTAGACTTTACACTCATAGAGACAATAAGCACAAAACAAGGGCGCCACAGAGGCTGTGTTACTCAAGACATGGAGCTGTTTCATTTGGCCCCTTGATTTATTTTGAAAGTTAAAAGAGAAATCATGTTTCTCCAAGCGGTGCCACTTTTGTCCATGGATGGATGACTGACTGGTTATTCAGAATATCTTAGCAAAATCTAGTGAGACTCTTTTATCTTGGTGGAAGGAGCCTTTCTGAAATCCCTCTTTAAATGATACTGTTTTTTCTGTCTCTGTCCAAATAGTCCCGACTACAGTGGGACCCTCTGCCTGTGCTGCGTCCTGTGCCAAGTTTCCAGCAAACACAGCGTTGAAAGAGGCTGTGCGTGATTTATTAAGGCCTGATTCACTGGCAGTGAGCAGTACATGCAGGAATACTACCAGACATTGTTGCTGCTCCCTCAGTTGCTCACCCAGTAAGCCACAGAATTTCTGTCCCTAATGTTCCTAATAAAACAATATCAACACCCAATCTGGGAATTCATGGAGATTATAATGTGCCTATAATGGAATTTATCCATTGCAGCTATTGAAGTCCATTTCTGATATTAAAAAATGTGAGAAGTTAAATGAAACGTCATAGAAATTGTCATCATTTTTATTATTTTCATTAAGTCAGTGTTGACTTTTATTTTTTAAAATAGACGCTGTATCATAGTAAACAAATAGTCAAGCCAACATTGAGCTAAGCTAAAATATTGACTTTCTCTGACGTCCACAGCCCCTTTGATCTTAAGTGGGTCAGCACAGTGAAACTCCTCTTTCTGTTTCTTTACAGAAACTTACATTTAATCAATAAGATTTTTTAAATATAAGAAAAAGAAGCACAATTACAACTGTGCATTTCATGTTTTCTACTTGATAAAGAAATGCTGCTGTAGTAAATTAAAGAAAGCTGTCCACATGTAAGAAGTAAAGTAGTGTAAAGTAATAAAATAACTTAATTACTTGGGTTTAGTATGTATGTTCATGGGGGAGATCATTATCAGTAGGAAAAGCTTTAAAACTTGTCAAGAAACAGTTAAAAATTCAAAGTTCATGTACAGTGGGCCAGATTGGAGTCTTCCCCTGGCCAGTTCATGGTCCCAGGGCCTTATGTTTCACACACCTGCTATAAGCAGTCCATTTATTGACAAAGAAATGTATGTATTGGGTCAGGATTATTAATGAAATTCCACTTCCAGACTCTAAAAACATATTGTAGTTTTGATTCAGCTGACTGAAAAGCTAATACTAGTCACGTGTACGGATTTTAAATTCTGATTTTGACTCACTTTGTATTTTGATTTCTTGAGCAAAATCAGCATCCATGTATTTATTTGTAAAAACAGTTTAAATAGTGTGTTAGGGATTTCATTAGTCTATTAATTAACCTTTACCGATTAACTTTAAATTTGTTCCTTTTTGTTAAAAATGTAAAATGCTGCATTACTTTATTTATATGATAATAACCTTCGTATTGAAAAAATAATAGCAGATGGATGAGTGGAAACCTTTCTGTCTAATTAAACAGCTCAGCGTTAACTGAGGACCTTTTCCTGTCAGCTGTATTCTGCTCATTTACAGCTTCAAACTTTTATTAGGTGTGCCAAGAGGCACACTTATTCTTCTTGGACTGTATTACTGTAGTTTTGAATAAGTCACATTTATTAGGGATGTGCCCTCTGTGACATCATACAGAGCCAAGAGTAGAAAAAATATCTAAAACAAGTTTGAAGCCTTTTATTGTCTCACAGGGATCAGTATCCCCCTTTTTAAAATTTATATTTTATTTTTATTAATTACTTTTATTATTTTATTTGAACTTTTTTGAAATTTTATTTAAGAATAAAAACTAAATAAAATAAAACGTTTCCTAATTTTTAATATCAGTATCCACCACTGTACCACTATATATACAGTACTGTGCAGAAGTCTTAAATCACCCATTTTATTTCTTTATATTTTGCTTCCAAGGAGCCACACTTGTAATTTTTTTAACAAGATCTTTTACAAGTGATCTTGAGCAGTAGCTTTCCAGGCTTTCTGGAGATTTTTCAATGTTTTTCATTCATTTTTACTCCAGTCCTTGTACCATTTTTAGATGAATGTTTTTGTTTGTTTCTTTGTAAAGACACTAAATACTGATCTTTCAATTGTTCCACCGTGAAAAAGCTCCATAATCAAAGCACATAAAAGACTTAATCTAGCAAACAACCAATTTTAAATTATATCTTTAAGCACTTTGTTGCCAGCAGCTTTCCTGAGCTAACTCTACAAAACAGTGTGACTGGTATAAAACAGCATTTTTGCTCCAACAAAAATGGTGATTAACAAAGAGCTAGTAGCTGACAACCTGTCAGTGTGTCCGTAAAAAAGCAGGAAACTGGACAAGTGGAGGACAAAAGTAGAAGTGGCACAGTACAGTGTCTGAAAATCATGTTCTTAAGAAAGAGAACAAAAACCATTAAAGAACTGACACCAGAGCTGAGAGATGCTTTAGCCCTTCAGTTTATTTATCTACTGTTTGCTGAAACTTCAGAATAAGTCTCAGTGGAAAGGTGGCTGCCAAGAAGCCAATCCTAAGGAAGGGAAACAAGGAGAAAGGGCTGAAGTATGCTAGATTATACAAGAACTGGACTGAAAATCAGTGGCAACAGATCTTTCGAAACCAAATTTGAATATGTTGTTTCAAATAATTGTCAATATGTGTGGAGGAGGTCAGCCATCTGTAACAGACTGTGGGGGATGATTCATTTTTCAGCATAACAATGATCCCAAACACACAGACCCCCCCGAGTCCAGACCACAACATTACTGGAATCATGATGGAATCAGCTTGACAGAGAATAAAACAGCAGACAGCCAAAATCTAAAGAAGAGCTTTGAATGTCTTTCAAGAAGAGTGTAGAGAAATGACAAGAAAGCTTTCCCAACAGAGTTCAGGCTGCGTTGAGAAAGAATAAAGAAAGAATTAAGCTTTGTTTTCATGTTTTGGTTACATTTTTCTTTAATAAAACTGGTAAATTTCAAATTATGCTTCGTTTTCTTCCAAAGACACAATTTCCCATGCTGCCTTTCGAGGGGGGCGTCGTCAGCGCACATGTGCGCACGCCGAATAGCGAGCATGTACTGAAGTGTAAATAACCCGTCAATATTATTTGCACTTTTTCTCGGTTTGCCAGTCGGTCCCGTCGGACAGCATGGCCTCAGAGGAGGACAACGTGCTGCTGTTTCTAATCTACCAGCACCTGAAGGTGAACGGCTACCAGAAAGCTGCCCAGGTGCTGGAGAAGCACGTTACCCAGGTAAGAAGTTTGGCTTAAATTTACAGTCTAATATTTAGCGTGCAGTCGGTAGACTGGGTTCTAGCTCGCACACGTTAGTTAAATGTGAGTAAAAAGACTATTTTTTTATGTGACTTCATCAGCTGACATGCGCATCTTGCTTGTTATATAACAACTTAAATATAAATGTGATGTGTGTTTGCTTCAGTGTGGCTGTCGGTAAGATGCACTTCAGTCTGTGTGTGTGTGTGCGCGACAAAGCGTGTGGCTCCTTGTTCAGGCCTTCTGGAGGAAAAGAACATTATGTTACAGGAGCTGCACAAAGCAGCTCTGCTCCTGCGGCCTATTGCTGCACGCTGTCACCCCATTCAAAACCTCATCACCTTTTCATAGTGTTTAGTGATAACAGTTGACCTTTTTATCTAAAGCTCCTGGAGCTGCTGTGATAAGTTGATTAATTGATTATTTCATCAATTTAAAAATAATCGGCAGCTTTTTAAAAATAAATAGCCAGCTGAGATGAACTTCTACTTACATATTTTTCAAATACGAGACCTGGATGCTTTTCTCTATATTTCGCTGTAATTCACTCGTTTTTAGAATTTGGGGTATTTAGACTGTTGCACATAATCACTGCAGCTATTGATTATCCAGTAGCTGTGCCGATGACATCTTATGATGCAACCAAACACTGTAAAATAAACCTTTCTGGTATTTTCTTTTTTAACAAGGGAAATCTAAAAAATAATATTGTCTTATTCTTCCTGAGTCTGTCTGTTAGGAAACATGCGCTTAGGTGTGATGTAAGCTTTTCCTGCAGAGCTTATGAGATAAAAATGTCATTGTCAAAAGTTGCTCATACTTACAGTGGCGGGTGCTCATATTTAACATGATAAAAGAAAATGTAAAAAGTGAGATCAGAGTCGGTACAGGTACAGAGAATCACAAGGGTTCTCTGTTTGCAACAGTTCTTTTCTATTTTGGCTTCACAGGTCTGAATGCAAGTACATAAACCCCGCCCACCTGCAGTTCAGACCTTCTGTTTACAGGGACGGCCAATCTGAAGAAAGTTGGCTTAAAGGGAGAGTGAATTAACTGAGCGGTCTGCTGAAGTTCATTATAAGATATCATTTAACTTTTCTTTCATTTTACTAACCACTTATCCAGCATTGTGTCGCGGTAGCTGGAGCCTGTCCCAGCTGTTACAATGCCAGAGGCAGGGTAAACCCTGGATAGGCTGGTTCCTAACCATTAAAAAGAGGGGGGAAGGGTTTTTCAGACACTGGATGAGCTGTGGGCTCCATCAAAACATAAAAATAAGGAATATTATACTGTCGTAGAGTTCAAACATAAAACGAGAGCTGGAAAGGACATAAAACAACACCTTAAAGTCTGAATGAAGTTACAGCAGCAGTCTTATTAGAATTTACTTACGAGTGTCCTTCACTCCTCTATGTGAACATTGTGTATTCATCATACTCTCTTCTTTGGCATATTTTACATGAATTCACATCTGGAAGCTTGTGGCAGCATTCCTGCAGCACAGGAAATTTGTTATTTCCCTTTGCTATCTGTGTTTTTTTCCTTTCTTCTTTTGTCTATGTAGTTATGGGACGCACAGGAAGTTTAGCTGAAGCAGAGACAGAACATTCAGGGAATCAGTGAAAAGGAGAAATTGCATTTTGAAAACACTCTTGAAGAGTCAGTACTGAGCAAGTTTTAGATGCACAGCATTTCTCAGGCTGTTGTGTGTTCTGTTGTAGGTGGAGACACCAGTGGAGAGCTCCTCCACCCTACATGATATCTACACAGGCTGGATGAAGTAAGTCACACCCAGTTACACACTTGTATACATAAATATATAATGCCACAAGTTACCAAAAAGAAAGTAATTATAAGAAAATTGTAAAATTTAACATTCTTTGTGCTGTAATTGTTATATGTGCTGCAAATTTTGTGAAAACTGACTGTGTACAGCAAACTGTACAGGTGAGCATGTGTAGATTAAAAATGTCAGCAGCTGAAAACAGGATGGGGCTCTCTGGCTCCCAAAGAACCTTAAAACAATCATTTAATGGTCTAAAATGAGATTAAGCCCAATGAAGTGCATAAATAGTGGCTTGTTTCTCATCATCCTCTGTTTTTCTTTATCTCCACATTTTATGACTTCCTGCTTTTTTGGAGTCACAGCTCAGCAGGTAATGCGATTCAGAGACACACTCAGCTTAGGTGATTTGTAGACTCCACGCTGTCTGTGTGAGCAGGATGCGACTGGTACGGTTTGTGTGAGTGATTTCCTGGCCTTGTGCCCAGTGCATTCTGGGATCACCTTCAAATCCCTGCCTCCCTAATGAGGATTAAATGGGCATCAGATAAATGGCTAAATGAATGACATCAGCTCATTTGCCGAAGTGAATCTAACACTAAAATAACAGAAATCTGCAGAAGTCAATGAAAATACATAATTATGTGCCGAATATAAGGCACCTCTGATTATCAGAAAAACACTGTTTTCAAACAGCTGCTCATTAGGGAGAAGTACTCATAATGGTACTTAGCCCTATTCTAATTAATGCCACGATGCAAATGATCAAAAACCTGTAGTTCTTAGGCTTCTGAGATTCACAGAAATGTTTTTCTTTTTAAAAGCTGGTGAATTCAATTAAATATTATTTATATAGCGTCAATTTACAACACCTGTTGCTTCAATGTGCTTTATAATGTAGGTAAGAATACACTTAACCTCTCCAAAGTTAGCTGACACTTTGTAAGCGAGCACTTGGCAACCGTGGGAAGGAAAAACTCCCTTTGAACAGGAAGAAACCTCCGGCAGAACCAGGCTCAGGGACGGGCAGCTAGTTGGGGGTTAAGGTGGGAGAAAAACACAGAATTGAATTACCTCACTGCACCGATAAAGAGTAAAGACATGTAAACAGAACAGTGTAGTCTATAGCTGTGCTAGCTATTTGCTTCCAAGCATAGCTAAATCAAGTCGAATGCTTGTTTACGTTCACGACCATTTAGGCACACCTTCCCAGTACTGGGTTAGACTCCTTTTCTGCTTTGAGAGCTGCCTTAATTCTTTGTGACATAGATTGAAAAATGTGCTGGAAACATTCCTCGGAGATTTTCCATGTTGATAGGATAGCATCACACAGTTCCTGCAGATTTATCCGTGGCTTGAGTCTCCCGCCGCATCCCAAAGGCGCTCTCTTAGATTCAGATCTGGTGCCTGTGGAGGCCATCTGAGTACAGTGAACTCGTGTTCAAGAAACCAGTTTGAGATGTTTTGAGCCCGATTGCTTATAAAAAGATGGATGTTGCCACTGCAGCATCACGTATTAGTGAGTGTTGGAACACTAAGGCTCGCCATTTTGGTGTTGGTGAAACCGGATGTAAATGGTAAATGGCCTGTATTTGTATAGTGCTTTACTAGTTTTACTACTTTACTAGAGATATACAGATGTATGTTATGTTATAACAGTTTGGAAACTGGAGAAAAAAGTTAAATTATTAGCCATGTAACTGTTCCAAAATGCTCTAAACACTAAAATGGTCCAGAGTTCATTTCAGACTTTCTGGGCTGAAACTTGGCACGCTGCTATCAACTTAAGCAATCTGTGTTTGTAAATCTGCTAATTAAAGAGGCCACAGCCATAACTTTAAGCATCAGCAAATTCCATTTAAATGATTTATAATAAAGATTAGCCCTGTGTACAATTGTGATGAAGGGAGAAAACATACATGAGGCCAAAAATACTTCTCATACTAGCACGTAAACGTGTTAAATTCATGCCTAAGTTGGACATTTTAACTCGGGAATCTGTGAGTCTGAGACTCACTTTTAGAGTCAGCCTCAAGTGGTCGCTGGAGGAATCGAGATTTGCATTGACTGCGTTTTTCAGCTCATCAGTTGGTGCTTTACCTAATGTATAAGCATAGCCAGTAAAAGAAATGTAATTCATTTGTGTGTGTGTGTGTTACAGACTGTACTCCCTAGCCCAGCATGCCAAACAGGAGACACAAGAGTCCAGTTACTCAAAGAAAAGCATCAAAGCAGAGGCTGCAGACACCAGGCTCTCCAGTGTCACAGGAGGAGATGATGTGGCTTCCAACCCTCCACTCGGTAAATTTTATGTTTGATTGCAGTAGTTAGGACAAAATAAAGCCACTAATATGTGCACATCTGTAGCTGAAATGAATTAAATTAATTAAATGTCAAACATTTTCTAATTAATGCTTGTTTAAATCTTGTGGATCTCGATTTCTGGAGAATGATGATTTCCATTTGTATTTTTTCTGATGTTTTATAGATACATAGAGCAACAACTTGGCAATTAATTATTAGCAACCTGTCAGTCATACAGCTGATTCATTAGTTTATCTTTGGAAGATGCAAGAAATGAGGAAAACGTAAAACAAACAAAAGCCTCTCTGTAAAAATATGTTTTTGTTTATTTATCTAATGCTAATTTAAAGCTAATTTAGCAGTAAGCTGAAGTTTGTTCCACAATGGGCTCCTGTGCTTTGAGCCCACACTGCAGAAGTTGTAACAGTAATTGATTGTCTGTGATTTAAAAGTAATCAGTGAAAATTTTAATTGGGTTCTGTAGCAAATGGGAAGCCAGTGTAATTCTGCCAGGACTGGAGTAATGTGTGTCGAGTGTTTGTGACTAACCTCACTGCTGTAAATGGTCAGAAGCTCCTCTCCTGCGCAGCTAGCTCACAGTGTAGGAGACGTTTCTCTACTTTTAAGATCAGTCTTCAAACTTCCCTTTTTGATAAAGTTTATTGTTAGATTCTTGCCTTCTTTGTTCAAACTGGACACTTTTTGTTACTTCTCCACATCACCTGGACTTTTTAGGGAATGTAACTACTAGATCGGTTGACCCTGACACGTGCCTCAGTAATGCTGCTGGGTTACGTCTCGTAACTTGTTCATACAGGATCATCTGATTGTTGGGCTGTTATCTCTAATATTGTAGGGTCCTTACCTTACAATGTAAAGCTCTTTGGGGCAACTGTTGTTGTGAAATTGGCGCTACATAAAGAAAACTGAGTTGAACTTTGCATTGTATAAGTTATCCTTTTTTTTCACTCTGTGTTTATTTCTTTTACAAATCTTGGCACCGGTGACTATGAAGCCAGTCTAAAATATATTCGATTTTCTCTTTCAGAGCCCGGGCCTGATGTTGTTGAGCCACTGAAGGCAGAGAGCATCTCTGAGAGTGTCTGTGAGCAGCTGCTGGCTGCTGATAATAAATCCCAAGCAACAAACTCTGACAGCGAGAGCGCCGGCTCCTCTGACAGTGAAGTGGAAGAAGAAAAGATAAAGGAGGAAGAAACAAAAACAGAGCAAGAGGTGAACATCTCACATATCATGAAAAATGGGTTTGAGTTTTTCTGTGCTAGCTTTGCCCCCTTTTTCTCAAAGTGAGGAGACAGAATCCTTTCAGTTAGCGTAGCCCTGTTGTGTCATTGCTAATGTGTGCTTCATATGGGAGAGCCAATAAGGACAAACTGAATGTTGAGCGTGAATGTTTGGTATTTAGGATGTGTTGATGAACACGTGCACCGAGAAAACCAGAAAATATCCCGTAGCCTTCAAATGGTATTAAAATCACAGGAGAAATAACAAGATAAGAAGGAGAATCATTTTTCCCAGCTAAGATGCTAACAGTTTATTTCCTGGCATGACTTAAGCTTTAAAAATGTGTTTTCTTAAATTCAAAAGAGGTTTCTCAACAACAGCAGCTGCAGGAAGGCGTGGTTGTGGTTGGTCCTATGCAAAGTTTTGCAGCACGTCTGCATGCTAATAATCCTTCTCTCTGTCACCAAAGAGCTGCGTAAACAGCTGCAGATTAGCTTTTATAGGTAATAATATTGACATTCTGACACCCAAACGGTACATTTATAATCTGAAATAAGCTATGCCCTGAAGATAACAATCATATTTTCAAATATTAGCATCTTAAAACTAATTAAAGTAGGCGAGGAATCTCCAGCAGACCTTATCTAATTAAAGATGAATCTCTAAATTTGTACGATTAAGCATGAAGTGAACACGAGTTATTTAAGTCTTATCTCATAAAGCAACTCTTGAAATAACTACGAGCAGGGAAAGATAAAGGTGCGACGTGTTAATGATCATTAACCCTTTAAAGCCGGTCGGAGCGGGCACGCTCCATTTTGCATAACTATTTTTAAATCCCGGTAGCACTGCAACCACGTAAACTAGCGCAATAATTTTTTTTGCATATGAAACCGGAGGAGTTGTACTTACATCTTATGCCATCAGCTTGTCCTCGGTCACAGTTTCCTTCCACATATAGCTTTGCAAAAATTGCATAAAAAGCGCTTGCAGGAACAAAAACATAATATTCCAGAAACACGCTTTGCAGATCCGATCAGCTGTTTGTAACACTTCCTTCGTCCATCAGCACGAACTATCGCATGTCCGCCATGACCTGCCCGAAACCGGAAGTGACGTCATTTGCGAAAATGTAGTTTTTTACCATCAGGGCCTTATGAGCCATACTGGTGTTTTTAAAAGTTATCTTTGACTTTATGACTTTCTGTGTCGTTTCTGGGATGTTTAGAACTCATATTGCACTGCTGGAAATAGTTTATTTTGATGCATATGCAGGTTTTTTTTGCAAATTTGCATTATAAGATTTATTTTCGTTTTTATTGCAGTATATAAAAATTGGTGTATTTCAAAAATAAAACTATGAAGACACTTAAAATAAATTTCCTGTGGTGGGAAACTAGTTTGTGCAACTTTTTTGTATTTACAGTTTTGAGGGATAAGCCTCTTAAATTTCTCTACTAGAAATATATGTTAAAAAAACAAAAACGATTTTCAAATTTTTTGTAGTTTATTGCACTTTTTTGCAATTTATGTAATTACTATGCACTTAATGCAGACATATTATTAAAATTTGGGCTATAATGGTTGTATTGATGTATAGCAACTTGAAATGCTCCTAAAAATGGCTCCACAGCATGTAAAAATATAATATAAGCTCTGGCGCACTTGGTTCTATGGTAGGTCTTAAAGGGTTAATGTAGGAATATTTTTACTTGGGGTTTATGTTTTAAAGGTTTTCATTAAAGTTAAAAGCAAAAAGTAAAAAGCGTTCGAGTAAGTATCGAGTGCTGAGCGTTGTTACAGGAGGAGGAAAGCAGTGCCATCATGAACACACATAGCTGTTGTCCAGCCACTGTAATAATGTGCTGATAGATGGACAGTAGCTGCAGTGTTGTTATACGCTTGTGAAACACACGGACACATTTCCACTCGTCTCATCTGTCCTGTATTAGTTTCCTCTGTTGTTATTACTGGTGTGTGTGTGTGTGTGTGTGTGTGTCTTGTCTGTTCTTTTGTGTTGGCCCAGTGATGCAGCAGATAATGCCGTGTGGACACAGAATTGTGTGCGTGTGACAACAGTAATCTTCAGAGACAAATTGTGTGCGTGCTCGTTTCTGTGCGAACTATTCGTTGTGGTTTCTGTCGACAGCTGCTGGAAACCCTGATTACTTTGTGTCTAATGGTAAAAGCACTGCGGCTTTCTTTTTGCTGTACAACAACAACAACAACATCACATTCTTAACGGCAAAGATGTTTCTACTCAGCAGAATTTCTAGTTTCTTTTAGTTGTAGTTTTCGCCAGCTGGTTGAATTAAATCTGCTCTCTGTGGATTAAAATGGACTTCCTGTGATGTGGAGCGGAGCTAGCAAGTGCTCCAGCGACACTCAGTGGAGTCATATTTTTACTTTTGGATTGCATATAAAGAGATACTAGCATCTCCTCCTCACGTGCCTTCTTGGCCTGCTTGGACTTGATGGTGTTTTTTTGCTTAAAGTGGTGAAACAAGTTTGGTTTTTTTTTTCATATTTAGTGGCAACAATTGTCTTGCATACTTTGCAGAGGAGTGTGGTTTGTTGGGGGTTGTTGAAGTAGCTCCCTTTTTATGTACTAAATATCATTGGAGGCTGGCACATGCAGCTATCGCTCTCAGGCATGTCTGGGTTTGTTGTTGTGCATGCTAGGGGACGTAAACACAGGGTGTCTCTATCTATATAGTCCAAATATATTTGACACAACAAGTTTAGTCTGTGTGCGAGTATTTGAAATTGCTCTGTTGCATTGTTTCCCCCAAACGTAAAAAGCCTGTACACTGTTCTCAGTATAGCACCTCATTTGCAGTGAAATATAGTCTCCAATAAATGGGGTATACAGAGCAGTAAAAAGATCCTCGAGTGTCTTGGATTTGTCTTCCTGAAACTAGCAGATATTCTGAGTAAACAGCAGGATGCAAGTTCTTCTAACTGCCTGTACATATTTTCCAGTCGGCTCCAACTAAAGTGTGTGCTGAGGCGTCCAATGAGGCAGAAAGCCTGAGCTCTGCCTCTTCAGACGCTGAGGAAATAACTGCACCCAGCCAGGGTAACAACAGCCTGGTGTTACCTGATCAGGCTGAGGACCAATCGCAGGCCCCCGATCCAGCCGAGGCCTCAGTCTCAGGCGGTGACCTTAAAGTGGAGCATCAAGAGGGCAGTGATGATCTGAAGCAGGTTAGGTCATCAATTTCATTTTAAACTTTTGTGTCAGATGTTTATTTTTCTTTTCATCTCATCATATCTCGCAAAACGTTTTCATGCGACTGACACTTGAGCACATATGCATCACTCGCTCTACCTTGATGTCTTTAAAGGCCTAGTGTGCTGTTTAATTTTCCTCCTGGCGCACTGGATCGCTCTGCAATGAGCAGAAATGTTAATCACCTTAAACCACACTCATAAAAAAATGGGAGTAGCTGTTGATTCCTGGCTCAGCAGAGCCTCCTTCTCCTCAGCTCACCTCTGCACAGCTGAAACTTATTTTGCAGTGGACTGTTTGTGTTGTTACGCTTCCAGTAGTCAACACTGCAGGCAGCCTTTCTTTGCTGAATTGTGAATTTTCTTTTAGGACTTTACTGGAACGTAAAAGATTGCGATTAAATGTCACCGTATTAGATGTTGCTCTTAATTAGTGCAACAAGTCGGTGCTCTTTAAAACTCTGTATTCATGTTTAAATCATCTGAAGCTCCAACAGAAACAGAAACGTCAGATTTAATTGGCATTTACATTGTTTAAACAAGCAATTTGGTGCCAGTTGTCAACAAGAAAAAGATCAAATAAAAAACATACAGAAATTAAATGTATGTTTTTTGTTTTTTTTTGCATAAAGATGATAATTTGTGGTGCCACCTTTTTACCATAATAATAATAATTCTGCAACATTCATCTCTCCAAGTGTCAAAACAGGACTGTTAAAAGCCAGCAATGAATAATTCATCTAATTTGATCAGTTAAGTAGCGTTGTATTTGCAAGATTTATTGCTCACATGTGGAAAGATGGAAGCGCCAGTAATAATAAATCGGACATGAGCAATCAAAAAGCTGTAAACAAAAACCCTGATCAGCCAAATATTAATTCATTGTCGCCCAAACTGTTGTAAACATCTGGCTCTGTTTACAGACTAGTGCAGCATGCTGGTGTGCTATGCATCAAAGATCATTATGCTCCTTCCTCTTATGCTCATATCCATAGATGCTTAGTTTATATCAAGTCTTAGACTATTTTTTTAGTTAAAAAAAAATAAATCTAAATTTAATTGTCATCTTCCACGAAATCCAGAGCATCTGGAAAAACAATAAATTGGCAGAAATGCAATTTGGGAAACAAATATCAGTCCTCTTGTTGTTATTATTGCCCACATGCACACATCAACATAGACCTAAAACTAAAGATTATCACCTGCACTGGTATCTAATTTGGTGCATGAGAAAAGCAACACACAAAAGAAACTGCATTCAGTTTTGTCCCAGCTGTCCTCTTCAGCGAATGCCGCCATGCTTGGCAACCTTCAGAAAATGGTGCCGGCTGAGTTGTAAAGCAGATACTGGCCGGCGCTGGCACCAGCGCCTCCAGGCTGGAAGTGTTTAAACCATTATCCATCTGACTTCTCTTTAGTGATGCAGCCATGTTTCCAAGACTTAACTGTGGCTTCGAGTGCAATTTTAGCTTTTATTGACAAAAATGAGCTGTATTAATTCGCCTTTGTTTTCTTGTAGGATTAAATTGATCTTTCTGCTCGGTTTTTCTCCAGGAAGCAACCACAAACACCTCAGAAGACATAGAAGAAGCTTCGGCGTCACAGCAGACAGATGTTCCCACTCAGGAAGTCAGCGAAGCCGAGTCTCCAGAAGGTGAAGAAGCCACAGCAGGAGAGGTGCAGTACTGCTTCATATTCACATATTAATTGATACGAGTACAGAACCTGTGATTGCTTTTATTATGCATCCCTGAAGTGCCTGCATATTTTGATATTTCCACTACAATTACAAAGTATTTAAATAATTCAGTTAAACTAAGAACTAAATCTGTAAAAACTTGACTCGTCATGTCTGGTGGTGAAAGACCTCTGTTGACCTCTTGCAGATGCCCATCCTGGTTGAACCCACCACCTCTGACCTGACAGCTCTGGAAACCAGTGACCAGCTAGGAGACGGTCAAGCCCCGCCCTCTGCAGGTATTAACAGCCAATAGATTTTTAATTACCGGTTTGTTCTTTTCCCCCTAAATGCATGGCATCTTTTCCGTCTCTTTCTCACTGCTCTGACAAGAGTCACAAGCTGTTGTTAAGAAACCGAGGCTTCAGTGCGGCTGCCTCTGCAGCAGGTTTCTTTTAAGTATTATGAAAATCAGTCTGATAACATCTGCCGTCCAGGTTTGTTTCCACAGTTACAAGAGTTTCAAAATTTCACATTTCTGCTCAGGCATGAAAATCACTGCAAGGTTGATTTAAGAAAGAAAGTGAGATTTGTCGTAGGGTTGTATCTGTAATCAGAATGTTTCTCCTGATTGATTGATTTAAACTTATCACTAAATTCGTAGTTATGACGACCCACACATTCATCTTTCCGTATATACGATTACATAAGACAAAGAGAAGATGCACGTGCTCATGACCGACATAATTAAATGATTGATTATAAGAATATTACACACATTCATATAATCTCTAAAATTGGTTCATCTTTATAGCTTCTTATCTTTATATGTGAATATTAATGTTGTATGCTCCGCCCCTCCCTGAGCCTGGTTCTGCTGGAGGTTTCTTCCTGTTAAAAGGGAGTTTTTCCTTCCCACTGTCGCCAAAATACTTGCTGATTAGGGGGTCATATGATTGTTGGGTTTTCTCTGTATGTATTATTGCAGGGTCTACCTTACAATATAAAGGGCCTTGAGGCGGCTGTTATTGTGATTTGGTGCTGTATAAATAAAGTTGAATTGAATATGTATTTATGATTACTTGGACATCTTTTTCGTCATAAGTCAACAATAGAGAAAAAAGTATAACATTACTTCTCACTTGGAGTGTGAGCTCAGGCAGCTCGATGCTCATTTCGTAAGCTGTTGTGCCGCAATGACAAAGAGTTGAGGTTAAGTAGGATGCACTTCCTAACATATGGGCACAAGGTCTTCAGTTTTTCATTCAGCTACACCACTGAAGGATCTGAAAACTGTGATGCATGAAGAGCTCAAGTCAAGGCAAACGAAAAGACCAGCCGTTCTCAACTGAAGAAGACTAAACGGTCTAAAAACTCATATTTCGTAGCTTCAAGAAGAAAGACACATTTCAACCTGTTGCTTTGCTGAGCAGTTTTCTTTTTCCCCCAAAAGTTTAATTAACCCGGGAAAAAACTAAATATTGTCACACCTGAAGCCCATCTGTAGCTGTGACCCTGGTGTTCGCCATTTCCTCGCAGGACACTCGTTTGATTAAATCAACTGTGGTTCGTCGAGCACGAAGCACACCAGGTTGTTGTGAGCTTGCAAATCTAGTGAGAATCCAGCCGCCTCTCAACACGTTTCTTGTGGTGATGTGACGACACACCTCGGGAACAGAAGGGGAGATGGATGTTGGCTTTATCTCGGCTTGTTGTGGTGGAGGCGTACAGCTGTGAGGCTCGACTCTCTTTTCATTTAATGGCTGCTGATTTGGACGAACTGACCTAAAAGTTATTCACTGATATTAAAAAGCAGTTCCAAAAAGGGAGTTGTTGTTGGAGCGGTTTCCAACAAAGCACAGCTTCGTCGCTGTACTCTGGATTTACTTTTTTCCATTTATTTACAAGGGAGAAAAAAGGCATTCTGTCTTTTCATTTTTCCTTTTATTGACAGCACGTCATCTCCGGCTGTTTAAGCACAGAAGTTTTAGACAAAGTTTGAATATTTTTACCCCGAGGCAGCTGGATTCAGTGCCAAAACTTGTAAAAGAGTTTGACAGATTTCTGCCAAAGCCGAGAAACAGCAGTTGTTTTTCGACGCCACTCACTTGTGTAACTTCTCAGAGGAGTTTGTAAAGCTTGTCACAGCTTGTTAAGTAAGCCGGAGTTATGACTACTCTGAGAGTTGCAATCATCTGGAAAACAATCGCATCTTTCACCCAAAAATGTGAAAATGATAGATGACGTTTGAATAGAAACGAAGGTTTTTCGCATTCTGACCTGTCAAACACAGAGGCAGTTCTGGATTTTACTAACTGAACTGCACAAATTCCTGGAAAGGAGCCTTTTGTTAATAATATTATTATCGACCTGAACTTCCTGCTATGACAAGTCCAAACATCTGCTGCAGAAAGGCTTCAGAGTTGGATTCCTGTGGGGGGAGAGTGATCTGATGCTGCTATCAAGAAAAAAATACACCTGGAGATGCTCGTCGAATGAAAGTGTTAGATATATCACAAACATGTCGTAGTGTGTGCTCTGCTCTCCACTTTAATCCTCAATACATCAGACAGAACCCAGCCTGAGATCCCATCAGGGCAATTTAAAATGTCTCGTTATCTTATTTTTCTTTTCTTTTATGACCAAACAAAAAAAACTGCCTTATGACTCATGTCTCTTGCTGTTTTTCCCAGAGTTGCCACTGTAATAGACTGTCGACTGATTTTAAAAAGATGATTTTATTGAGTCTCACGTCATGTACTTAAATCTTAAAGCTCTGATCAGGTATAAAAGACTACAAATGTAATCTAATGTAGGCATTTTATAATATTTTTCAGACCCTGATGGTGAATCTAAAAATCCAAAAGAGGAGGAGGAGGATGACGTGGAGGAGACAAAGAAATCTGAGGTGATACAACTACTTAACTATTTATGGTGAAGATAGGTCTTTGCCAGAAGCAGATGGGGAATAATAATGAGTACATTTGCACTATCTGTAATGACTTTGTGTATATGCAGCATGTTTTAATTCCTGTATGCATCTCTGCACTCAGACGTCAGAGGTCGCAGATCTTTCCTCGGAGCTGGAGGGAGACACGGAGATGTTGAAAATCCCCGTGGACACCGGGATCCAGAGTGACCTCTCAGCCAGTCCAACTGGTATCAAAGTCACGTTGGTTTCAGAAGAGCGATCGGACCCAGAGGCCTCCATCATCATCAACATCACAGTCAAAGATGACGAAGCAGCTGAGCGAGAGACCGGCCAGCTGTCCCCTGAGGAGACTGCCGAGTCCTGTAAAGACCGCAGCACTCCCAGGAAAAAGAAAAGGAAGAGCAAACAGGATTTTGAGACGTCAACAGCAGACGCATCGATCACGGACACACCCAGCAGCACTGATGCATCTACCCCAGATCCACTCAGTGACACTCCTCTTCCTAGGAAATCTGCCAAAAAGAAAAAGAGAGACAAAAAGAGACAAGAAGAGGAGGTGACAGAGGATGGCGGAGATCAGGAGGATGAGGTTGAGGCGTCTCAGTTAGCTCCACCAGACAAGAAAAAGAAGGCTAAGAAGAGGAAAAGGGAAAGAGACGAAGAAGAAGAGAAGGAAGAGGAAACTCACACTGTCACTGAAAACAAAATTAAAAAGAAGAAGAAGAAGAAGAAGGCTAAAGATGTGGAAGAGGAGGAGCGTGAGGCAGGAAGAGCAGTAGAGGAGAAGGCTGAGAATCCTGTGAGTCTGGCAGAGACAACGGAGGAGAAAAAGAAGAAGAAGAAAAAGAGGAGAAAGGAAGGAGGTCAGGAGAACGAGGCGGTGCAATCTGAAGAACAACCAGCAGGGGGCAGTAATGGCACAGAGGAGAAAATGGAAGCCACAGGTAGAGAGAGAGAGAGGAAAAGCCTTTCCTGAAAGTTCCCTGTAATAAGACATGGACTTGCATTTCATGTGGCCTTTACTCTTAATCATTAGTGGTGATAAATCTAGTGTGATTTTTAGATAACTTTAATTGTGCATTTTCTTTTCTTTTTGGCCTGCTCCTGCAGAGGGAAAGTCTTCTTTGGACTCCTCGGCCAAGAAGAAAAAGCGTCTCAGGAAGAAGCTCAGCCTGAAGAGGAGATTAAAACTTCATAAGAAGGAGAAGCTGGCGATGAGGTTGATGAAGAGCAACAAGTTATCTGCAGATCAGAACCATGTGAGAAGGAAGAAGTGAGTAGTTTCTGCTTATCTTTGGCATATTTCTTCATAAAACTACAAGTGAAACAAAAGCGAAGCCAAACGATTGTAGAACTTGGCGCTACTATCATTGTTTCAATGTCACCTTGCAGAATTTTGATGCTGTACAGGTTCGTGCTACCAGTAGTACTTTTTACAAAGAGTATGTGCAGAAGGTTCTTACAAAATCACAGTAAAAGTTAAAGGATTACTTCCATTTTTCAGACAGAAACGCCTACAAGAAGAAACAGAGGAAGTGTTTCACCCAAAGTCAAGCAAAAGACCCAAAGTTGAGCCCATTCGGGAGGATGAAACACCAAAGAAGAAGAAAAAGATGCAAAAACATGCTGACCTAGAAGAAAATTCGTCAAAGGAAAACCAACCTCCCAAGGCAAAGAAGGAGAAGAAGAGGGAGCTGCAGGCTGAGGATCAGAGCGGTGTGGCAGATGACCAGAGTGCTGCGATTCTTGATGATGCCGATACGTCGGCGCTTTCAAACGGAGGGAAGAAGAAAAGGAAGAAGAAGGCGGTTAAATGCGAGGAAGCTGCCGAAAATGTGAGCCAAGATGTACCAGCTAAGAAAACAAGTAAGACTTTCTTCTTACTAAGTTAGCATTCATGTTGCGCTATATTAAGGGTGTGACAGTTCATGAAGTCTTGACACAAACATCTGCAATATCGTCCTGCGGTACCATCGATCCGCAACCAGTGTGGTGAAAGCTATAATGTTTAGACTGCTGCGGTAACAGGTTATACATCAGAGTATTATTGTTCGTCATCATACTGGAGGAAGAAGAAACCATGACCCAGACTGTGAGATATGAACTGAACCATAGTTACACCACTGCTGGGATAAACACGATGCTTGTAGATCCACCTTTAGCAGCAATAACTTGAAGTAATTGTCTTCTGTTGACTTTATCAGTCTCTCACATTGTTGGTATACACTTTGGTATACTCAGTCAAATGAAGGTGCAAGGAGCTCAGATCCTGTGAATGCAAAACAAGCATAAATCATCACCGTAACTGACAGCTGGTATGAGGCGTTTGTGTGTTACGTGGTGTTACACATGATGGCCAGATATCTATATGTCGGTCTTTTCTATCCAAAGGACATTATTCCAGGAGTCATGTGATTTATGCAGATGCAGCGCTGCAGACCTAAGCCGTGCTGCCATGTTCTCTTTAGAGTGAAGAGGCTTTCTGTCATCAATTTTAACATGCTAACTGAGGCCCGTAGAGTCTGAGCTGTAGCTCTTGCAGTTTCTCTGAGCATTGCACCGATGGAACTTATAAGTAACTTGCTGGGATATGTTCACTCATGGGAACATTGTGGCATTGCGTTGATACTCCCGAATGCTCCAGACCGACTGCTTTTGATCAGTTAAGTCCGTTTTATTAGCAACACCTAGCTGCTATTTAGCCTTGTAATTCCTATGCAAACAGTAAGAATGTGCATAGTTTTTCAGGACACTACGTCACAACAGTGTGCAGTTCTTTAGACTTTAACTATATCTCACAGCCTGCTTTTGGTTTTTGAGGTTCAGTGACCTGCACAGGCTGAGAAAAGGACATGTCAGGACAGACTCCATAAAACTGTAATAAAGCATTATCATAAAGACGCTGTCTACATAAAATCCACAAAGCTTCCTATCAAAGTAAACGGGCTGGTGAGCTTACCGACAGAGAAAAGCTCTACAGCGCATCCACCTGAAGTTCAAAGGTCAGCTTGTTAACAGTCACAGTGCAAGGCTACACGAACTCAACAACCTCACCACAGGAGAGATGGAGCGATATCACCATGTCTTTAGTTTTTGATGCATTAATGTCTGAGAAGGACAACCTGCAACCCTCTGTAATCTTCCACTGTGGGGCCATCACCTCACATTTGTTGCTGGATGCTACATGAGTAGATTCAAGGTTCAAAATAATCCTTATTAGTAACAAATCGTGCATTAATGTCGCCCCTCGGTTCACACACCGTCTAAAACAAAGACGTAGCTGCTGTAGTTTTCTCTCTCGGCTCAGAGCTGCACATTTGTGCTGTTGCAGGCACAGCTGAGAGTACACTGCCTCTCACTGTAGTTGAATCATATTTATAACCTCTGAAGAGAAACTGGTGTATTCATATACAGAAGGGGAAGAGACAAGACTTTTAGTTCTGGTTTCTCTTTGTAATCAGAGTTCTAGTGACCAGTTGCATTCAAGGAGGTTTTTGTTGCAGACAAAAGGCCCATGTGGAGAGCTAAAAGCATATATTTCCACCTGTAAACAATGACCGTGGCCCAGATGTCTTTTGGCTTTCTCCAGTTTATCTTAAGTACACCTCTGCCTGTGGATAGGGGGAAACTATTGCAAGATGATGCTTGCAATCATCCAGAGAGGTGAAAAAAATGACCGTGCAGGGGTTCCACACACACCACACTACCACAAAGTGCAGCAGTTCCTTTAAATGACTTCATAATGTGCTGATATTCACAGAGAAGAGCAGACTACAGGAGAAACTAGAGGTCGAGCCTGCTGCAGACACACACACTCCTCCAGCTGCTTCTGGGGTAAGAAACTCTCATCCTTCCTTTTAAAATATTCAGAGTTATAGTACGCCGCCGTTTACGTTTCCCCTCGTTAATGAGACTGACTGACAGTTTGAAGAGACAAGAAAAAGAAATCTTCGGTCTTTGCTTAAGTTGTTTTATAGATCTGTGAAGAAGTGTTGGCACTGCGAGGCATTTTAAAGTAAACTCAAAGTTTCCTCTCCAAATAATTTGCATGGAGAAGCAGTTAAGCAATATTATTATTTTTTTCTTATTCCAGAAAAAGAAAAAATCTTCCAAGAAGAAGACAAACTGATTTAGATTTGGGTGAGTAGCTGCTCGAGCTTTCCACTTTAACTTTATTGAAACTAATTTGTGAATTTAAAACGCTGCTTTCAGAGGTTCAGCTTAACTCCTATACGGCCGTCTCCGAGTCACCGTTCAGGATTTTCTATGTGAAATGAAGCGTTGCTCGTGCCTTCACAGGCTCTTCAGAGGCCGTGTTCATGGGTCATCTCACCTGTGATTTAAAAAAAGCATGTGCTTTTATTTTTTCATTTCAGAACTCCACTGCAGCCTCAGCGCTGCTTTTTCAGAAAACGTCAAACAAACAGAATCAGAAAATTGTTTCGTGATTGTAGCTAAAACTTAACGCACAAGTCAGGTTTCTCTCTACAGCAGACGTGGCATCATTGTCTTTTTATTATGACTTTCCCTTTTCTTCCCAGGGCGTACTCGGGAGGATGACTGCAACTTGGACCTGGAAGCCTAAAAATGTCAGCGTCTTTTCTCCCGATTATTCTGTCTGAGGTTCATTTTTCCACGAGAAACAGATTTCTGAGAGGTGCTGGGAGTAACTTCGCACTACCCTTTGTTCCTAAACTGTGAATTTAGCACAATACACACCCTAAACCCCCCCTTTATTTAGCAGATTCGACTTTAAAGCTTTGTTGGAGGCAGACCTGCTCTGCCATGGGAAAAAAAAAAAAAGCATAGTAATTAGTCAATGACTTTATTATGCATTTCATTCAGCGCAGCCTTTTTAACTGGAAGCTTTTCCCATTAAAGTCTCATTAAAGAAATGATTTAAATGAGCTGCCTATCGTTTGAAAGAATTCACGCAAGTGAAACATAAATTTCTATTTAAATCAAAGAATTCGATTATTAACAGGATTGCTGTGAACTTTTTTTTTTTAAAATCACAGTTTATCTCTTTAATCATTTGGCGTAAAATGGCCCTCGAGTTAGTCAGCTTGCAGTTAGTTTAAAACTGAGAGAAGATGGGATCTGAGGATGTTTGGAGGCTGTGAAAGATGATTAATACGTTTCCACTGCAGCACGAGACACATTTCGGCTGCAGAGCAGCTCCGTCTGCAATCTGCATCTCCTCAGAACTGATAAAAACTTATAAAGGGGGAACTTTCACAGTCGTGCGTCTTCTTACAGTCAGAGGGGCTCACAAACCTCCACATCTTTGAGTTTGAGTTAGAAATAAGCTAATAAGCTAAGGTGGCTCGATTTTCTTTTTTGTCGGTTCTTTTCTTTTCATGTGAACTGATTGATCAACCAGCATTTGTGTTTGTTTGAGGTAGAATATGTAGTTTTGTTCTGATGTGCATATGATGCAAACTTTGTCAGCCATCAGCTATGCAAATGATTAAATCCCGCTGCTTTGTACAACTTGAACTGCTTAAATTTGCCGTTCCTAACGACGAGCACGTTTCGAGAACGCCGGTCGTTAATAGCTTTAATTCTGCAGCGGCAGTAATTTTCTTTGTTTTCCTTCCCACAATGTTACACGTGCTGTGTTTCACAGTGAAAGTCAAACGGGGAAACTGATCTAACTTGGGCATGAAATTATAAAGCAAATGGCATCACGTCAACAAAGCAGCGTTTGTTTCTTAGGCGATTAAACCCAGATGTGATGCTGTTTGTAAGGTTTGTGCTGTCGAAGCTCAGCAGGAATCATTTCACCTCTGCATCCATCCCTCGTGACATGAACACTGTTGATATAAGTGCTTCTCACGTCTGTCTCACAGTCGATCGCTGTAATCAAACCCTAAAAACTTCACATTTTTGGAAGAAATGTTTTGGTTGTGATTCAGTTATTTTGTTTCTGATTGCAATTTATTTTATTAAAACTAAATTCAGTCTAAATATAGTTGAAATAAGAACAAATTATACATATTCTGATTGGTTATATTTAGGGTTGGAGTTGTCACTCGGACCTCGCAGGGTCACTTTTTTCCACTTCAGAACTTTTGAATAGAAATCCTCATTGTTGAAATATGCAAGCAGATTAAAAGCTCAGGGAAAGTTTACATGAAATGCATTTTATAAGGTAAAACTTGAATCTCACTAAGATTCCTTATGCAGTATTTCACATTATAATCTCATGGCGATGTAATATTATATTTTATCCCCTTTAAAAAAAAAAAATCAGTCAAATTTGAATCTGTAAGCACATAAGTGGTGATTTGATATACCTTTAAAAAAGTAGTGATGTGTTTTTGTAAAAAATTGGAGCCAAACGGCTCATTAACCCAGCTAACAGTTTCTCATAATTAGAAATAACTAATCTAATGCTGTTAAACTGAATGATTAGTCTGAAGTCTGCCTACATGCTGTTAACTTCCTCTGTCTCGTTACCTAAAGCGCTCTGAAACTTTGGTGTCTGAACTTGTGAGAGACGCAGCTTGGAGCCGATGCCGACATCGATTCGGAGAACTATGAGGAGAAATTAGGTTTTCCACCCTCGGTGTCTGTGTTTACTCGCCGCTGGTGACGCCGTCTTTCTTTCTTACACAAACAGCTTTTTTCCCTCTGAAACAGAAATCCATCAAGTCAATACGCGGAGCAGTTTGCAAATGCCACATCGTGACGATCAAGAAACCAGAGTTCAAATCTAATTTGTCCTGAATTTAAACAAAGTAACATCAATTTTCCAAAATCCTGTTGTGATTTATGGATTATTCCTTGGAAAATCTTCTCATAATTTCCTAAACATTGTTGCTGTTTTAAAGAAAAATAACAGGCACTTTAAAAAAAAAAAAAAAGTTCTTTATTCCCTATGAGATAACGACAAATCTTAAACTAAGGTCCAGTATAGTAAAATGACTTATGAACTGACAAGAACATCCATCTGAATTTGGTGCAAATCTATGAGTTAAAAGATTAAAAAGTGGCTCTACAGTGTGTGCTCTGGACTCGATACATCGTTAATGTATGTCGAGTCATCCTCTGTCTCAACCGGGTCGTTTTAGTTCCTCTTACATTCTTCTGATTGGCTGCCCCTCACAGCAAGGAAAGAATAAAGGAATGCCAAATTGTGCACTTGGCTTCTTAGCTAAATATCAGCTGTAAAGTCTAAGGAAATTAAGAGAAAAGTTTCCTAGAAGGGTAAAAATAAAGGATGCATTTAAAAAAAGTTGACAGCAGCATGATGAGCGAGCCAGTGTCTCACGAGTGTCGACAGTTCTCAGATTATCAAACAGTTCTGTTCGCGTTTTGTCCTGTAGCGTCTGTCAATAAAACCTTTTCTCACTTAAAATGACTTCTTTTGTTCTTTTTGTTTTTGTTTGTTTTTCAGTATCAGCAGCTGGTTCAGCATGTAACACTGATTGTTGACCTGAGTATAGTCAGAAACATGACTTTACGCGGGGGCGTGCCCTTTGACTGCTTTAATAAAACATACATGAACATGAGGAACATTCAGGTGACGTGTTGGCTGGCTGCGTGCAGCTGAAACTCATTTTCAGATCCACTTATATTACAGTTATTCATTCATTCATTCATTCATTCATTCATTCATTCATTTTAAAACCACTTCTTGAATTCGTGGTCATGACGATGCTCTAGCCTATCCCAGCTCACAGAAAGGTTCATATTTCTGCCCCATTAAAAACACTCAAATCGACCTGAGCAGTAAGATTATTTGCACTATGTTTAACCAGTATTATTTATTTATAACAAGTATAGCAAAATTGCTTATCACGTGCTGTCTTTTTCTAATATTTGTTAAATGTCTTCATGTTTTGCTTGTTTAAGTCTGAAGAATCCTGCATAAGATTTTTTCCTCAAAAAGATTTTTACTTTTTAGGGACAAAAGTTGATTTAAACAGAAATTCAAACATTCTTAGTGCAAATATCCTTTTCATTTGGGATGTGGGGCACAAACAGGGAACCGTGTCCACTGCAATAAAGAAAGCTTCCCTTTTTATTGAGCAACTCTGCTGCTGATCAAAGTAAATACTCGCAAGTATTCATGAAACACATTTATTCATCTCTTAAACGAGACTTACTGACCCAAACAAATATGGCAGCAAGGAAAGCAACAGCTCCCCACCCTGAGTTTTATTCAGAACAAATAAAGATGCTTAAGTTGGAAGAAATTGTATTTCATAGAATTCTAAAAGTCTGAACCATTTAGGTTATTTGCAGTCTAAATGGACACAATGGTTTTACGGTCGAAAGGGCGAGA